TGGCCTCCCGGGAGAAGGGGTTGGGGGGTAATAAAGCCCCTTTGCCCAACCCGTTACCTGTGTCTGTGTTGGGGCAGGGACTACGTGGGACGCTCGAGCCTGGGGGCTGCCTCAGCCCGGCCTCCCGGGCCCCCCCCGCCTCGCTCCGCTCTTACCGGCGCCATCGCGGCTCCGTCGCCTCAGCGCCCGGCCCGGCCCTTCCCGCCTTTTTCCTCCGCCGCTTTTCATTGGCTGGGCCCCGCCTTCCCTTGGCACCCAGGCGGGTGCCGATTGGACGTCGCGGCTGCCAGTCGCGTCCTCACCCCTCCAGAGGTCCCGCCCACCGTGCCCTCAGCGCCCTGAGGGGGTGGCGGCGGGGCCTGGGTCCCGCTCCCCCCTCACCGACCCTGGTCCCCTCGGGTCACCGGTCCCCTCCTCGCCCCACCCCACCCCACACCGCGTCCCGGGCCCACAGCCACCCCCCGTGTCCCCGGTCCTGCCGGAGGGCTCCCCCCGGGGCTGGAGGTGCCGTGGCCTGGTGTAGGCCCCGAGCCAGGTGGGTGTCTGCCCCCCCCACACGCACTCATCTAGTTCCATGGGCAGGGACACCTCCCACAAGAGCAGGTCTCTCCAAGTCCCCTCCAACCTGGGCCTTGAACCCCTTCATGTCACGAAAGGAGCAGGAGGGCTCCCAGGCAGAGGCGGCGGCGGGTGACAGCTCCTTCTTGGCGGGGGTGGGCAGGGATGAGCCCCCCAGTGAGGTAAATCTCCCCTTTTTCAGCTTAAAACCCTTCCCCCTAGTCCCATGGCTCCCCTCCCTCATCCCTGCCCCCTCCCCATCTCTCCTGGAGCCCCTTGAGGGACTGGAAGGGGTCCTAAGGGACGGGAAGGGGTCCTAAGCTCCCCTCGGAGCCTTCTCTTCTCCAAGCTGAACAGAGAAGAGCGTATCCGGGGAGTGACAACCCCCCAGGGGCTGCAGCAAGGAGGTGACACGCACACCCCTCCTTGTCCCTGGGGCTGCCACGTTCGTTAGCGGGGTCCCTAATTAACACCACCGGCCGGGCAGGCCGTTCCCTGACGCGCGTGGTCCTGTGTTTGGGCTGAGGACGGAGGGGCCGCCCGGGGCGGAGGCGGTGCTGGATGGCCAGGCCTCCCGCTACTTCGCCTCTCTGGACGCCAGCGTGGGGGCCCTGCAGCAACGAGCCCAGCAGCTCATCGACAAGGTGAACGACAGCCGAAAGGAGGATCACACCGTCATGAGCGGCTTCAGGGAGAGCCTCCTGCTGAAGGTGGGGGGGCCGCCGGCGCGCCGAGGGGGGGAGCAGCGGGCGAGGAGAGCCCGGCCGGGGCTGTGTGGCCACGCAGTCTCTGCTTGAGGCGTTTAATTGCATTATTCCACCCGAATTAGCAGCAGAAGGGGGGGAGTGGTGAGACGAAGTGCTGTGGGGAGGGAGCGTGGTGCGAGCGGCCGCCGGCGCCAGCTGCAGAGCCCGGTGTGCCGGCTGCACCGGTGCTCGGGAGGGGGGAAAACACCCACAGCCCCTTCGGGGGAGGCTGCAGCTGCCTCCGGCCCCGCTGTGGGGACGCCCACGGTCCCCTCTGTCCCCACGCAGCCGCTGGCTGCCCTCCCTGTCCTCGCTCGGCTGCGCCGGACTTTGCTCCAGCCGGGGGGGGGCTGGAGAGGGGGGGCTCCCGCAGGCCCAGGCACAGATGGCCGCCCGGCCTCAGCAGCTGCGGCCCACGGTGACCCGGCACTCGGTGGCTACCACAGCCGGCGCTGCGGCTACCGTGGGCGCAGCTGGCAGTAGCAGCGGCCAAGCCAAGCCAGGCTTAGAGCCGTGCCAGCCCGGGCAGCCACAGCTGCCACCCCCCCTCTGGGGATGGCAGCCGGGTGCCGGCCGTGCCAAGCAGCACTGCCTGCCCCTGCACCCCCAAAAAGAACCGTTTTCTCCCCCCTTTTTTTGTGCCCCGGGGCGGCGGCAGGTCTCGGGGCTGGCGGAGCAGCTGGAGGAGCGGCTCTTCCATCTCTACGGCCTCCACAACGAGCTGATCCAGGAGCGGCTGCAGGAGCTGGCGGAGGTGATGGAGAGAGTGGGGCAGGCCGAGGACGAGCTCCGGCAGGTTTGCCACACCGTGGAGGCCGCTTACCGGGACCTCTGCCTGCAGCCCGAGACCTGAGACGAGCCCCAAATCCGCAGGGGTCCCCCCAAATCTGCAGGAGGCCCCTCAGCAGCCTGCCGTCCCTGTGAGCGGGACGCATCCCCCGCTGCTGATGGCTGCGAGCAGGAAAGGGGGATTTGAGGCCCAAAAAGGGCTTTTCCGTTGCTGTTAGTGTTCGGGTTTATCACAAATAAAAAGAGAGGAAAAAAAAAAAACCCTAAAATGCTTAATTCTTGGGGGGTCTGCCAAAGTTTTGCTGCCTGCTTGCTGGGAAAAACCGCACCACGCACTGCACGTCCCCTCCCACCGGCAGCTTAATTAACACTAACGAGGCTGGCGCTGACGAACGGAGGCTGAAGCAGGGGGGAGGCTTTTCCACCTTTTATAGGTGAAGCGGCCGCGAGGGCGGCGAAGGCACCGGGGGCAGGTCAGGGCCAAGAGGCTCCCGCGGCAAAACCCGGCACAACCGGGGCTGCCGGTCCCAATGGTGACACCGAGTCCCCTCGGTGACAGTGGGTCTGTTCGGTGACACCTTGTCCTGTCGGTGACACCGGGTCTGTTCAATGACACCTTGTCCTGTCGGTGACACCGAGTCCCATCGGTGACAGTGGGTCTGTTCGGTGATACCTTGTCCTGTCGGTGACACCTTGTCCTGTTGGTGACACCGAGTCCCGTCGGTGACAGTGGGTCTGTTCGACGATACCTTGTGCTGTCGGTGACACCGGGTCCCGTCGGTGACACTGGGTCTGTTCGGTGATACCTTGTCCCGTTGGTGACACCGAGTCCCGTTGGTGACACCGAGTCCCGTCGGTGACAGGGGGTCTGTTCGGTGATACCTTGTCCTGTCGGTGACACCGGGTCCCGTCGGTGACACTGGGTCTGTTCGATGATACCTTGTCCTGTCGGTGACACCTTGTCCTGTTGGTGACACCGAGTCCCGTCGGTGACAGTGGGTCTGTTCGACGATACCTTGTGCTGTCGGTGACACCAAGTCCCGTCGGTGGCACGGGTCTGGTTGGTGACAGCAGGTTCCGTTGGTGAAATGGGTCTGGTTGGTGACACGGGTCCGGTTGATGGTGACAGCAGGTTCCGTTGGTGACATGTGTCTGGTTGATGGCGACAGCAGGTTCCATCAGTGACATGTGTCCAGTTGATGGTGACAGCAGGTTCCATTGGTGACACGGGTCTGGGTGGTGACAGCAGGTTCTGTCGGTGACAATGGGTTCTGTTGGTGACATGGGTCTGGTTGGTGACAGCAGGTTCCATCGGTGACACAGGTCCAGTTGGTGGTGACAGCAGGTTCCGTTGGTGACACGGGTCTGGTTGGTGACAACAGGTTCCATTGGTGACACGGGTCCAGTTGGTGGTGACAGCAGGTTCCGGTGGTGACACGGGTCTGGTGACCCCACGGGTGACGTCCCGGCCAGAGCTTTGGTGGCACGAGGCCGGTCATGCCGCAGAGCGTCGCAGCCCCGTGCCACCAGCGCGGTGCCAGATGCCATCTCCCCCCCGTTACCCCCGGGGGGCCGGTGACTTGCTGGGGGCGAAGGCCTGGATGCCGGTGATGGCCCGTCCCAGGATCAGCGCGTGGATGTCGTGGGTGCCTGCGGGCGAGGGAGCGGTGGGTGCCCGGTGGCACCGGTGCTGGGGGTCACCCCGTGCGTTGTGTGTGTGTCCCCCACCCCTTGCCCCCGGGGGGTGGTGGTACCTTCGTAGGTGTTGACGGCCTCCAGGTTCATGAGGTGCCGGATGACGTGGTACTCATCACACAGCCCGTTGCCCCCCAACATGTCCCGCGCCTCCCGGGCGATGGCCAGGGCCTTCCCACACGAGTTGCGCTTCAGCATCGACACCATCTCGGGGGCAGCCCTGGGGGGGTCACGGGGGGGGGGAAAATTCACAGAATCACAGAATCTTCTAGGTTGGAAGGGACCTTCAAGATCATCTTGGCCAACCGTCAACCCAACTGACAAAAATAGACACCCCCACAACAAACAAGGAGCA